ACTTTCCAAACGCAATATCTACAAAAGCTTCCTTCTATAGCCACCGACATCGTTTGGATTATACGCAACTTAGCCAGTTTTATTCTCGCATAGAAACCTCTCTCCTTTCTTTAAACCAATAATGATTTCCCGTCACCTAGTTTGTCCTCACCACAAATTATTGCTTATACGGATGGCTCCTGTCCCGATAACAGAGTAGTCTCCTTTGATAACCCAGCAGGATGGGGATTCGCTCTTACCAGCCTTACCGTCTCTTTTAATTCTGCTTCACATCCTTCCCTTGACTCCACTCGGAAGCAGTCGTGGGGACCAGCTAAGACAAACCCTACTGCCGATATTGTTCATCCTCTCCCGGGCTCCAATAATACCGGCGAACTTAAGGCCATCATTGAGCTCTTTGATACTTAATCTATCACCCTCCTTCTCCGCAGGTAGACCGATTTACAGGATATACTGACTCGCAATATGTACTTTCTGTTTTGTTGGGGGACACCGTACCCGTGACTCAGCATCAGTTAGTTACTGCGGCGCAGAAACATTAGACTGCAATACGCTGCAAATATCGTACCACCATTCTCAGAGTTTCCTTTCACATAGGCATTCCAGGTAATGAGCTCGCCGACACGGTAGCTAAGCGCGGTGTGACCTCACGCGCCGACCTTGGAAGGTTCTCCTTGTCGCCACCTCGCCCGCTCTCCCCTCCTGCAATAGATTTCAATCACTTTGAGTGGACCTCCAAAACGACATCGGAACAGGATACAATTCTCCAGGACTTTCTCTTTGACAACATCTCTCTCATCCCTTTTCTCATTCAGTCGGCCAAAAAACTTTGGATCTCCGCGAACGCTCGCAAAGAGATCGATACCTTCCAACACACCAGTTTTACGGACAAAGCTGCTCTACAACGAGCCCGTAAAAAGATCAAAAAGATTGCTAAACAGGATAACAAGGATTTCAACTCAAACAATTTCCTTTCGGACTTCCATGGAAGCTCAGTTCAGCGTGGACGCACGCTAGGCAAATCCGCTCAGAGTTTAAGCCCCGTTCGGGGGGTCTGTTCAATAACCAAAGTAAGCTGGTTTCATCGTTTCAACGTGCCAAAACTTTTGCCGACTTTCTGGCCAAGAAAATTTGGTTTTCCTCCCAAGATCCTGCGGTGCCAGTGCACGCGCCTCAATCCACTCTACACGCTATCGACAGTCTATTTACCATGCAGGACTCACACAACGCTCTCCGCAAGCTCAAGCTTCGAAAGGCCCAGGCCCCAAAAACTGTACCTCCTTGATCACTATTATCAATGTTACTCCAACTGTTCCATACCTGAAACTTGGCTCTTCTCCGAAGTTGTTATGTTGGTTAAAAATCATCAAAAAGACATTCGATCCCTTTCCAATTGTCGTCCTACTTCCCTTACAAATTTTCGCTTCTACGATACAAACCCGTTTGGAACTCCACGCTGATTCCCGTGTTCGCCACACCCAGTATGGCTTTAGGAAGAATCCCTCCACCATACATGTGATGCGCAGATTACTCGAGATCTTCGAACTAGATTGGAGCAAGGCCTTTTATTCCGTCACTTTCACAGCCATTTGTGCGACCATGGAGCACGTCGGCATACCAGAACATACCAGAAAAGTTATTATGGCCCTGTATGACAACCCGACCTTTATCGTTAGAGACTCCTCTCAAGAATCATCCAAGCACACACAGACTAAAAGCCTTCGACAAGGCTGCCCGCTCTCTCCCTGATTCGCCGCCGAAGCATTCAGATGTACACAATGATTTCTTCTATATCCCTACGATACAGCAAATTTGTGCTGCGCGTGACTCCAGATCTCTAGTACGAGCGGATAACACTCCTCTTTTAGAGGACAGTACAGCCATACTGCCGAAATCGTGACAGATGGAGAACGCTCATCCACAAGCCCAGACCCCAAAGGGATGCATAATTACAATCCCTTAACGTAATTTGTTTGAAAGCAGTCCGTGCTGACGGGCAACAGACGCACTGTGCCCCGCGCGCTCGAAAACAAGTTACCAATTCCGTACTCTGACAGATTCACTACACTGACATGTGTGTTTAGCACTCGCCGTCTCTTCATTGCGTCGGGCTCCGGCAAGGTTGGGCAATTGGGCAAGACACGAGGATTGTTCACGGCGTGTCGCGTGGCTCGGCAACAATCAAAATTTTTGCGACAACCTCGCAACGGTCGCGCCGGGCACCGACTGTGTATATTGCTCTCGACGTGCTGTACAACGTGAAGACACCGGTTTCTGACTGAAGCCGTGAACAAGCAACAAGAGTTGGCCACCTCGGAAAAAAGTGTCGGCTGTGCAATGCCATTAAGCACGAGCAAAGCGCCAATTCCTGAGCCAGCAGCGCCAAACTCAACACGGGCACAAACTTCCTTGCAATTGAAAAACTGTATCCAGATATGATTGGCAGCTATTTCGGCTACATTGTCCGTTTCTGTGCAGTTCGATCCGCATATGAAGCATTCCATGTAAATGTAACTTTCAGAGTTGTTTATGACATGGATGGTATATCGACGCAGCGGTAGTGTTTGTTGCCATGCCATGCCAATGGAGGACATACTGCCAACTACAGTTCGAGTTTGGCTGAACTCTTCTCAACACAAGCAAGCTTTCTGAAGCAAGGACTGTTCGATATGACTGGTAGAGTAAGCAAGGTCCATGCTGTGTATTCTTGATGACGCCGTTTCTGATCCTGTTTCTTTTGCTACTGCCGTTGCTGGCACTGGTGGCGATGGCGGTGAGGTTACTGTTGCTGCTGCTTCTTTAGGAGCTGTTGCTCCTCCTGCTGCTGCTTGCGATGGTGCAACTGTTAATGCCGGTCTGGCCTCACGAATGCAGAATGATCGTCGCCCGACGGGGCCGACGATTCCGAAGCCGAAGCCCATAGTAGTGGCGCTGGCCGTGTGCTGTAGTCATACGGTGGTGCCGTGCTGACAGTGGCAGCCCTGAGGCTGAGGCTGCCGGGGCAGCGCTTCTCCGTACATCACCCACAGCTCAACCGTGAATGGGAAGGAAACAGATTTGTATAGAGAAGCGCAGTCTGCTTTTGCAGTGATCATGGAAGGAGGGTCCAGCAACAGCAGCGGCGTGAGCGTTTGGCAGAGGAGTGGGTTTGTGTGGCAAGGCTTCGCAGGAGGGACCAGGCAAGTCTCATCGTGCTGCATGGGTGATAGTCAAGCACAGACAATTTTACTCGGCATTAGACGTTGCGTTCCTTGGGTACAGGGGGAATTTACTGCGGTCGCACATTGAGCCCCAAAACCTTGCAGTTTTGAGTTCTTGAGCTCGAGCAACCCAGATCCATCCCTTCCCTTCGTTGCTCCACGACCACTTTCATCTTTCTATGCACACAGTACACCTGCATCCTTCCATCCCTCATGCTATCCGACATGCAAATCAGTGAACAGGAATGCATTGCACTGCAATGTTGTGTGTCATGTACGTGATGCGGCGTTGTGCATGCATGGGAGTTGTGTGCAGTGTTCAATCAAGTAGCTCAGTGGATGGGGCAGCTGTTGTCATTCTTGTTGTCATGTAATGATGTGGCGGAGAGGTCGTAACGGTGTGCTCGTTCTTGATTCAACCTACAGGGATTTGGCAAGGACTTCTTTTCGCCTTGGTCGATGCGGTTCGGAAAGAGCTGCAAACCAACCGACTGATGCAGTTTTTCGCAAAAGGTGTCAGTAAGGGATTGGCCACAACGGCGTTCTAGAAGGTGCGTCATACTCTGCCCAGGAGTCTGCAATCATCTGGCCAGAATGTTGTCACTTTTCGCGGTTCGGCTTCTCGTCACCGATAGCGGCGCTGTGGAATCAAATTGTTGCTTGACACCCAGCCTCGGGTGACGATGCACTCCGAGAGCTGTGATAAGTCTGCGCTCCTTTCCTTTGCCTTCAACTTCACCCTTGTAGAAGCAGCTGAACCATACGGCGTAGAGACCCTCGGTGTACGGTACAACCGACTGTCACGGCCGTGGTCGCGGGGATCCGGCACAAGTCCAACCATGAAATTAGCCAGTTGGATTGAGAGCTGTGGTGAATACGTGGGCGTCCTGAAGCTCAGGCGTCTTCATCCAAGCCAGGACTCATAAACCCGCAGCTTGAACCTGGAAGCCCTGAAAGCCTAAACCCAAACTCTGGAACTGAAAGCTTGAAACCACAAAAGCCTTAAACCCTGGGAGAAGCTTGAGACCTGCAAGGAGCGGCAGGATGACCTGCGAGCGATGCTGAAAGAGCTCGGATGCCAAGTCCGTTCTTGCAGGGCGTTGAGCCACCTGTGCGACGGTATAGTATATTAGTATAGGGCTGTGAGTTTTGGGTTCTTTTGCCTGGGGGTTGTTGAACGATTCAGGGCTTGAGGTCGTCGGGTTTCAGGGCTTCGCATTTACGGTGTAGCTGTTGGTAGGGAGCAAAAATCAGGCATAGTAACACCCAGAGTCGTCATCATCAGCCGCAATCACCAAAACGAAGAAGTGCACATAAAGACACAACGCCATTAATCCTGCAACCCTTGGCCCTGACCCCGGCCTTCCACAACTACGAAGCCCTGGACCCCAAAAACCCTAAGGAGTTTCGGGCCTGAACACCCAACCACAAAGCTCGGAACCCTGCAGTACGAAGCCGCAAACCGTAAACTCTAAACCACTACACCCTGAAACCCTACGCCACGAAGCCGACGTCAAGCCATTGTTGTTGTTGATGGTGGTGACGCTGTTGAGAATGGCGATGATGTTGATGATTATTAGATGTACGGAGACTGCCGTTCTCGTCGATCCTGGTGTTGCTTTCGTCTTGTCCTGCAATGTTGCATCAGGAAGTACCAGTCTTCTGCTGTTGCGCAGTTGAGTCCGACGTTTCGAAGCTTTTGTGCTCGTTTCACTCACGCTCGTTTGCCATACCGTGGAGGTTTCCCTGTCTACACAAAGGTTTGGACTTACGGGGCAAGGGTTTCCGAGTGTGGCTGAGGCAGAACCTGCATGCCGTACACGGTGAATCGGATGTCCACGTGGAGGCTTTTGAGATTTCAGCTGCACTGCATTTGCCAAAATCTTGCGCCAGCATTTAAACTGCATGACATCAGTTCCTTCGGCCACCAGCGCTGGATCACTTTGGTTGCCACTGCTTCAAGAAAAAGAAAGTAGCATTGGCTGGGGAAGTTGGCAGGCTCTGCCACCAGTGCTGCTGTCTGCCATGCCATCCGTGTCACATGGAGCCATCCTGTCCGCTGTGGCCGGCATGCTGGTAATGGATGGTGGCTCCAAGGTGGTTGCCGAACTTCTCGGAAAGCCCTTTGCGCACGCTGCATGGGGCTGGATGGGGCCAGCACCATCACCGTCGCCGATGATGCCCACTCCAACCCCTACGCCGTCTCCTCCGCCGCCAACTCCGCCCCCTCCACCCCCTCCGCCACCACCACCTAGCTGCGGCACCTGGACGGCTTGGGGTTCCTGCTCTGTGACATGTGGGACTGGGACCCGCATGCGATCTCGGGGCGGTGGCTGTTCGCCTTTCTCGGAATCCGAATCCTGCAATGCAGGGGTCTGCAGGTGTGAGGAGTGGACACAGTGGGGGACATGCTCGGCCACATGTGGTGGTGGTGCTCGCTCGAGGTCACGGACAGGTGCTTGCCAATCCTTCACAGAGTCCGGGGCTTGCAGCCAGACAGCATGCCCTGTTCCCACACCGCCTCCGCCCACTTGCAGTGGGTGGGGTCAGTGGTCTGCTTGCAGCGAGAGTTGTGGCGGCGGGACACGCTCTCGGACGCGTTCGGGATCGGGGTGCACCTCCACGCAGGAGTCCGAAGCCTGTAGCACGGAGGCCTGTCCCAACACACCGTCCTCGGTCCAATGCGGCACATGGCAGCCTTGGAGCCAGTGCACCGCCACTTGCGGAGCTGCGAGCCGGATGCGGAGCCGCGGCGGCGAGTGCCAACCCTTCGTCGAGTCGGAAGACTGCGGTCTTCCCACCTGCCCAGCACCCCAAGCCCGGCCGTCTCCCACACCCACGCCAACGCCCACGCCCACACCCACACCATCCCCCACCACAACCACCACGACCACCAGCAGCACCACCACAACGGCACCCACTCCGACGCCCAGCCCGAGCACAACTCTAAGCCCGAGCCCCTCCCCATCACCCTCCATCAGTCCAAGAGCTTCCGTGGTGGAGGTGAGGGTCCGCATTTCCGCAGACTTTGCCGAAGCCAGCCGTGACCTTGATGGGTTTCGGTCGGGCTTCAGAAAGGGCGTTGCTGATGCCGGTGGCATTTCTGAAGATCGCGTCATCGCGCTGCGCTCAGATTGAAGCACCCAAGTGAAGCAGAACTGGCTCCTGCATGCTGTCGATGTCCGTGTTGAGGTGCGACAGATCTCTCAGGGATCCATCGTCGTGTCTTGGCTTCCCGACATTAGCCGACCTCTGTGACAAGCTTCATTGCCTGGAACAAGCACATCATTGTAGAGGGTAGCTTTGTCCGCGGACCAGCTGCATTCTTCAGTAGCACCTGGAATTTGCGCAGCAATGTGCAAGCACAGCATTGTGCAGCAACAGGTGGACTTCGTCGTAGTTGGCGCAAGGACTCCTGATGAATCAGCGGCATCTATGGCCGTGCAGGAGATTGCGACGAACAGCATAAACCCGAGTCGGGCGTTTAGCTTTGTTTGCACTCAACCCTGATTACAGCTTGTGCGGGCGACGTTTTTCGACTTGTGAGTTATGCGAGGCTTCGTGGCTTGTTGACGTGAGGATCGACACGGGTGGGGGCCGAATGGAAGTGGTCGGATGGAACTACGGTTGAGGGAGTTGAAGAGCTGAGGGGTTAGCTTTGCGCAGATATGCGGAAACATTACCTAAACATGCAAGGCACGAGGGATGCACTCCGCACACCCAGTCAATCCTACAGGTGGGCTAAAACAAAGCTTAAGGTTTCGACTCCAGGCGGGTGATGTATCCAGTATGCGGGAGCAACTTTCTGGGGTTGCGGCATTCTTAGAAGCCTAATCAGCCAGCTTCTGGCTAGTATTGCTTGCAAATCTCGTCGTAGTTCGATATAGATATACACACACACACGTACTCGGTTTCCAAGGAATGCTAGTAGCATGTGCTTATAGCCGCATCCGTGGAGTTCATCAGACATTCGCAACGATTGTACAAGTCTTGATATGTCTTGATCGAGTTGGCCAAAGCGTGGGAATTCCTGCGGGAGAGCCAGAGCTTGGCGGTTACCCTTTCTTTCTGTAAATCTGGGTTTTTGGGATTCGTGTTTCTACCTGATGCGCTGCCGGTGAGAGCTTATGTTCTGTCAGAAAATCATGCACGTACAGCCCTGGGTGCACCAAAGACCCTTTATCCTCTCTCGCTTCTCTCTCACAAAAAGTTCCACTGCGAATCTAAGCTACTATGCCAGATAGTCGCGGATGGTGGCCCAAGCGATAGTGCCGCGCAGAGGAAGTGTACCACGATGCCTAATCTGGTTGAACATCACTAGCTTCAAAGGGTTTGCTGCAACAGAAGGCCAAAATCAGGAACTCCTGAACCCATCCTGAGACTCTCGGGTGCAGGAAGTGGAGAGCAAAATGCGGGATGCGACTTACAGCTGGCCGTCGGCCATCCGGACCATCATGGCAGCTCGGAAGTAATTTGGACTGAGTTGTAGTGCGATCTCGACAGAGGCAACTCGCAGTTGATGACTTGGAGCCCGGGACCTTCCATATTGGGGCTAAGCCCACAAACCGAAGCCTGACACTACAGGAGCCTGGAGCCCTAAACAGGGAAGACCTTCACACGGGCGTTAAAGGAAAAGAAGCCCTCACACGTACTCACTTAGCGATGACTCGAAACTTGGGCAGGCCTCCGGTGTCACGGTGGAATCACGCGCCACGCGAGACATGGACCAGGAGTGGCTGTGCGGGGGTTTCCGGGACTGCTTCAAGCTGCCTCCGGAAGGTTGCTTTGAGGCCTGTCTTTTCATTTAGCATTGCGGGCTTAGCTGCCCCCTCAACATCCGTCAGGCCGGTCTGGTCAAAACAGAAACTGACCGGAAGACCGTGACTGCTTGACCACGCCTGACCGACGGTCGCGTCATCCCCTAGTTCAACGATAGCAACAGTACTTTGCATTCCAGTAGAAACAGGACCAGTGATAGCAACTGCGCCAGTTTCGTGATAACTAGCAACGGCTCTCTCCTTCTTGACGGATGACAATCCTCACTGGAATTATTTGAAAGACTAGTTTTGAGAATCCTCGGAAGGAACAGTTGGATGTCATGGCGATGCAGACCAGTGGAACGGCTTCTTGGCACAATCCTGCCAATCTGCCTTTCGCCGGGTCTGGTTCGACCAAGGATCCTCCTTGTGCGGCCTTGGCTTTGGGACTTTGATACACTCGGTTTGCGCATCAGAACTTTCAAAAAAACAGGTCATTTCCGCACATTCGAACCCTTCACCTCCAGTACTCTCCAGCCCACAGCTCGTCAGCTGGGCATGCTTGGCAAGTCTGAGGCTTGAAGTTCTGGGGTCTAGCGTTCATCAGTGACTGTATGCGAAAACGACGCTTCCCCTCAGGTTGAACGCTCATCGGTTCAGAAGTTATAAAGTTTTGAAAGGAGTGACTCAGGAGGATGGTTTTCCACGGTGCCCTGCAACTGGAGTCTGCTTGAGTTTCGGGGCTCAGCCGGTCTGCATGGTGTACGTTTCAGCCGGTTGTCTTAGCGTTCAAGACCCGTACAGCACCTTTTACATGTGTCTGCAATTTGCTATGGGACTTCAGAGCTGTGATAAGTGTTCAGAGAAATCTGCTTGAACTTTCCATGCTTGCTGGTCTAGGAATCGTAGTTGCGGGCCCTAAGCTCTAAGCTCTGTTAGCCAAAACGAAGACAAATAGTGCTTCTGTTGTCTCTTGTGAACTCTCGGGGCTCCGCCCACCCACAGGCGGGCAGCGCAGGTAGAAGCCGAGCAAGGCCACGCACCCCCTCTCCGCCGAACCCCGCTGATGCTGATGATGCGCGCCTTTTGGGGGCTTCCGAAACCCACTCAAAAGCTGGCAAAACATTTCCTCGCGCCCGCTCATGATGCTCGCCGGCTGGCGCCATAGCCTGGGGAATGGCTGCGAAACCCGTGCGTAGCAACAAGATGTTTTGAAAGGACCCGTGTGACATGGCAACCAAGAGTTTGTGCTTGAGGTCTTCATGACTCCCCTGGACGGTTACCGAGCACCCGCCGACTGCTCCTGCGTCGAGGGTGCTGGTGTCACCGCAGGCTGTGCGAAGCACAAGGGCCTTTCGCCACCGCCACACAGCTGCGAAGATAAGGTATCACAAGCTAGTTGCGTATTACTTCCAGCAAGGACTGCTCACCACTTGTCGATACTACTCACTACTACTTGCTGCTCTCACCATCACCGCCACCGCCACCGCCACCGCCGCTGCCCCCACGACCACCACCACCACAAGTACTTTAACTTCTAATTAGTTTTACTTCCACCTCCACCACTACTGATACTACTAGTAGTACTGATACTACTGATACTACTAGTAACTAGTACTACAACAACAACTACTACTACTACTACTACTACTACCACTACCACTACCACTACCACTACCACTACCACTACTACTACCGCTACTACTACTACTACTACTACTACTACTACTACTACTACTACTACTACTGCTAGTACTACTACCACTACTACTACTACTACTACTACTACTACTACTACTACTACTAGTACTAGTACTAGTACTACTACTACTACTACTACTACTACTACTACCACTACTACTTCTACTGCCGCGGCACCTGCCACTGCCACTGCCACTGCTTCTTCTTCTACTTCCACTACAACAACAACTACTGCTACTACTACTACTACTACTCCTACTACTACTACTACTACTACTACTACTACTACCTCTACAACTACAACTACAACTACAACTACAACTACAACAACTACTACTACTACTACTACTACTACTACTCATTCTTCTTCTACTTCAACTACTACTACTGCTGCTACTACTACTACTACTACTACTACTACCACCGCTACTACTGCCATCCCTGCTACTATTCCCACAACTGCTACTACTCCTCCTGCTGCTGCTCCTGCTGCTGCTACGCCTGATCTTGCTCCTACTCCTGCCGCTATTCCTGCTACTCCTACAGCTACTCCTACTGCTACTGCTTCTGCTGCAGCAGCGGCTGCGGCCATACTTCTACTTCTATTGCTACTGCTGCAGCTGCACCATGTTGATGCTTTTGTGGCTTTGCCTGACTCCAGTCTCTGTCTCTTTCTCTCTGTCTCTGTCTATCTCTGTCTCTCCGTCTCTATGCCTGGCTGTCTGGCTGTTTGGCTGTATATCTAGTGTACGATTATACAAGCTTGCGGTCGGCTCCACGGAGGGCAAGGCTTGATTCCGAGAAGGGCCTGCAGTCTCAAAGCCTTTCAGGTTATCATTGTACTGAGAACGCAATCTCGAGCCCTTTGTCCCCAAGCCTGCAATATCACAAAACCCACCGAGCCCCAAACTACCGACATATCGCGCATCTCTGAGGTGGTGCCTCGTAGCCTTTGATTGTTCGGCGCGCATGGAGGCTCTGCGAGGGTGGTGTAAGCGCGCGAAACCGAAGTTCATCTGGTTCAGGTTGTATATTTCCAAACCTTGAGCCCTGACCTCAGGCCTACCTACCCCATCTGAGGCACAATTCCCCGAAGCCCTGGGCCCGAAACAGTGCCTCCACAGACAACTTAACCCAGCACCCTCAATATTCAAACTCACAGCCTCACTGTGCAGCGGTAGCTTGCAGCAGCAGCAGGAGCAGGAGCAGGAGCAGGAGCAGGAGCAGGAGCAGGAGTTGGCAGGAGCAGTAATTAGGGAGCAGGAGCAGGAGTGGGAGTCGGAGTGGGAGTGGGATTGGGACTAGGAGTAGGCGTAGCGGTAGGATTAGGAGTAAGACGAGGGGTAGGACTAGAGGTAACTAGGGTCGGGAGTAGGAGTGGTAGTACTAGTCGTCGCCATCGTAGTAGCCTTCGTACTAGTAGCAGCAGTAGCAGCAGCAGTAGTAGCAGGTGGTCGTTCCACAGTTAGTAGTTGGTAATTGGTAGTTGGGCCTTTGTAGACAGTATCCAATTTGTAGTTTGTCGCAGTTGTTGTTGTTGCGGTGGTGGTCGTCGTTGTCGTTTCTATTCTGTGTGAGGTTTTCTTGACCTTGACGCAGGTAATGATGGGTAGCGCTGAGTAGTGGACTAGCGTATGATATCGGAAGCTCTGTGCAAGGGCGCCCAGGGTGCCTGGGCCTGGTGTGTCGCAAGCGACGGTGCTCCTCAGGCGAGTCGGCTGGGGAGAGTTTTGTTGAGATGATTTGTGGAGGGTTGATTCGGCACGGGTCTTTCAACTTGGTATTGCAGAGATCAGTGCCTTGACATTCTGACAAAGTCGTGTTTCTGGATGCTGTAGAGGTCATTGCATTTTTCGAAGTTTCAAGCAATTTTGGTCAGATCGCATGTGAGGCCACTGCATGCATGCACTTGTCATGCTGCAACTTCTGGGAAGCGGTCCAGTATGGCCATCTGCAAGTCTAGACCATGGACCTGCTATGACCTGCTACTCGTAGCTTCAACCAGAACCCGAGAATTTCCCCGTGGAATGGCCAGGACAAGAAGCTTGGTGTGACTTCGCTGGTACAGTCGAGCGATAGCTTTGGTGGCGGTGCGCTGCTTCCCGTGGCTGCGCTCCTGGCCTACAGACTCCTCTGAACTTGCCACACTTGTGCTGCGGCGAGACGAAGTGTAGTTCGTTGCAAGGGATCTGTGTCAGATCTGTTGCGCTCTGTGCCCGAAGGTTCACTGGACTAGGTGACTTTCTCTGTGGCACCTGCATGCGAAGGCATGCTGTGTTAATGTCTTATACATTCGACGAAGCGTCTCGCTCGGGCTTTGCCCTGCATAGTTTCATGTGTGCATGTTTTCAGCTTATGAAGAGGCGGTACTGTACTTGACCCCGAAGCCCTTGAAAGCCTGAGCATGCCAAAGGCCTGGTGCTCCTGGGAAACCTCAAACGAGGCCCAGGCGCTGAGCCACCATCGTCTCGTCCGCATCAGCCGCCTGTCACGCTTGCCTAGGGCGGTGCAGGTCAAGGGAGGCCTGATTTTCAGAAAGCGCTTCGATTTCGTTTTCAGCATCTCGCCGTAAGGCGAGTTGCTTTTATGTGCTTTGCAGAGCCTTTGATGTCCGTGGGCCCCCTGCCCAAAGCGGCACTGAACCCTCCAGTGCAAACGTCTTAGAGCCCACAACTGAGAATATCAGGGCTTTGGAAGCCTTGCCGGTTCACAGAAGAGTCAAGCTTAGCAAATTATGGTTACACTTGCTGCTGGCATTCAGGACTTCTTGGAACTGGTGGCAGTTGACTTGGGAAGAGCTCGGTGGTAGAGCGTGATGCTGAGTATGCTCCCATCAGAACTTCGGACCCTGTGCCCTCCATGCCTGCTCCAAAGCCTGCACCCCAAGCCCTGGAACCAAGCCTAGAGCCCTAAAGATCAGATCCGAGAACTGGGCCCTGGGTTTGAGAAAGCGTGTGCTCTGGGAAGTTCGATCCCGGCAGAGGGCCTTTCCGTAGTGCCTGTGCCAATGTCTGAAAGTCTGGGCTTTGGTGCTGCAGCATTGGCCTGTTGTCAGGTGGAGGGGCTTAGACTTCATGGGCTTCAGGTTGAGCAGCATCTTTTGCAGCATCTAAGCCGGAGAGATGTTAGACGGTCTCAGGTTTAAAGCCCGGGAGCCCTGGCGTGTTAGGAGGGTTTTTAAATGTGCCCTCCAGAAAAGTTTCAGCTGATCGTAGCATTGCTTCTTATCGCACAACAAGAACAAAATGGGATGCTGATGATATGACGATTCAGATCATGAATGCAGTGCTGTTCAGGGCTTGGGGTTCAGGGTTGGGATCATGACTCTGGGCGGTTGTCATTCTATTGTTGGTTTCTGTACTGCACAGAATTTTGACTGTTGGGACGGTCGAAGACAATGGCACAAGCCTACATCTCTTCAATCTCTCCTCCGCAGTGCTTGTGCGCATTCTTATACCCATGCCTTGTGGCACTTCTTGCGTTCGGAGACTGCTGGGAAAAAATGCCGCAGGAGTTTCGGGTAATGAGGGGTCGGGAGTTCTTTTCCCGTGTGCGAGTCTTTTTTCCTTGTGCCATCGAAGCTGTTTGTGTTTGCTCTGGCTTTCGCTTGGCAATGTAGCTCTTCGTGGCGATACCAACATGCTCCCTCAGGGTGCCGGGGCCCCTCTTTGCGCGGACTGCTTGACGTGGAAACCTTGATGCCTAGCCGCAAACACTGCCACATCAAGGCCCAAATCCGGGGATATGATAGTTTCTCAAAGGGGGTTTGGATATGCAGATAACAGCAAGAGCCACTTGCAAGCGAGCCGGCCCACATCTCGAGAACTTCGAGTATGCCCGAATATCAGGAGTTCTCTGAATTAGTTCCGGCAGGGTGTTTAGCGTGTTGTCAGTTTGCTATTATCCGGGGACCAAGGAGAGACCATCATTTTCGATCGTCGGTTTTAGATCCTGAATGTTTGTCTCAGCTCCCTTCCGCAAATGCACTTGCAGTGTAGCCTTACGTTCTTCACCCTACTCCCAACGGTAGGCAGACGGAAAGAGGCAGTCAAATAAGAAGGTCCCTGCTTAATATCCACAGTCTCCAGTTTCGTGTATGATTCGGATGTTGATGCTTCAATGTAAGACGTTGTGGTCAGGTGTTCAGGGTTCAGGACTTGAGGATCCGGACCACAAATCAGCAAGACTACACCGTTGCACTGCCAGAGCCCTCCGTCCCGAAACGTTAAGCCAGACGGACCTGCCGTCAGCCGTTGATGTAGCCCCTCCTGTCGGCAGTATCGGATGTTCAACATGCAGGGAAGAAACATGACAATGGTAATGACCTATAGTAGGATGCACTCGCATCAAAAACGTTGCAAGTATAGTACATATCCTGTGTTTGATTCCAGACATGATATGACGGCGGTGTCAGGTCAAGGAAGTTAGGGCTTTGCTTCAACATAAGCAGCAACAAGCAGACAGCCAGAATGCTTGCACATCTGCCGAACTTCAATCGACTTTCACGGTGGTACATGAATCGTTAAATGAGAGACTTAACCTATATCGAAGTTCTGAGTGGGACCGCCTGAGCAGCTGCAGGTATTGCGAAGGCAGCGGATGCAACTCGACGAAAGGCGCAAATGTAGGAGTGTAAGACATCGTCTCTGCAATGACCTCTTTGGTTCGCCAGAGTGTCACGGGGTCCTTTCAGGTTTGCGACTGGCACCTACACCCCGAGCCCCAAAATTGCAATGCCGCTTCAGGACGTTAAGACGATACTGTCCTTTGACCTCAGCCAACCGGGAGCGAGCAGACTCGTGCTGCTGATGATGATGTTTATGATAGCGAGCGGTGGTCTCTACCATCTCTACCATCTTTACCATCACTACTGCAATCCCACCACTACTAAACATACCACCACCGACCCGTGGACTATTGCTAGTACTACTGACACTACTACCAGAGTACAACCTCGACTAGCAGTAATACCACTACTACGACTACTACCACTACTACCACTACTACCACTACTACCACTACTACCACTACTACCACTACTACCACTACTACCACTACTACCACTACTACCACTACTACCACTACTACCACTACTACCACCACTACCACCACTACCACTACTACCAGTATTTCATTCCAATCGCAGCCGGTCGCTCAGCTTAGCGTCAGGTACGTGGCAGTGCATTGCACCGGTGCTTCAAGAGCACTAGAACCACATGGGCAAGTCCCGCTACGAATAGCTGCAAACTTGCGACCTACTCAACTTGTCAAGGGAGTGGTGCACCAGTGCACCCTTCACTCAAAGAGTGCAAAATCAGATAAGTAGAAAGGTTACCAGGACTGGAACAACCGACATGGGTCCCGTCGATGAGAATTGCCCTTAGGCCGAGCACGGCCTCTCTACAACGCTGGCACAGCCTCGTTGTCGCTCAATAGTGGCACAGCCCAGCTGAGCTGCGTGATCAAAAACTCTGGCTCTGGCAATCTTTTAGGTATTGTGCCTGGCGTTTGCCGTTGCCGGCAAGATGATTCCATTGACGCAGGCCTTGATGAAAACCGTCGGCCCAATCAGATCGCATCTGCACAACACAAGCCGCGAGCCAATTTCGCGGGATTGCCGGTTCAGGTACACACTGAGAACATTCATCCTGTCATCCCCTTACGCCCCACCACCTGAATCAGCAGTTACCTAGTGTGGGACGCCACTGGACGGGAACTCAACGAGATGGCTCTGCGGAGTACGACCTAACTGGCTGAGGTGCGTGAGTACTGGACGCAGTGACTCACACTGAGGGTGACGGAGGAAGAAATGAGGCTGTCTCTAGTAGAGTGAGTCTGTTCAATATGCACTTCTTTTCACAAGTTTCAAGAGTGCAGGGAATCTCCAGCGCCCGCCATGCATAGAGCACGCTCGCGCAGCGTTCCATTGAAAAGTAGTAGTAGTAGTAGTAGTAGTAGTAGTAGTAGTAGCAGCAGCAGCAGCAGCAGTAGCAGGAGCAGCAGCTCAGTACCACCACAACGAACGCGACGTGCTCCACTACCTATATTCGGCATTGCTATTGTGATTATAGCGTGCATTTTCTTAGTAGTTCCCGGCTACGAATCCCGGCAAGGCTTACCATGCCTCTGACTATCGTTCTGCTTGGCACGAGGCAAGAGCGCCTTTTCGATTTCTTGTATGTGAAGGCAGAGCAGGCGCGTCAATCCGCCGACAGAGATGACTGTCCTGAGCTTTAAGCCCAAATCCGAAAGCGGCGAGAAATGGAATCCGGATGAAGACCCTCTTCCCCGAATTCCACTAACCCAACCGGACAGTTGAACCTGGCGACGAAATTGCTGTGCTGCGCCAGTACATCCCTGACAGTAGCACCATCTGCAGGGAAAGTGTTAACTCAATCTTCGCACACATGCTTGGGCTAACAGCGGTGATTGCAAGACTAACAGTAAAACTAATATTTGGAGTACTAGCGTAGCGACAGCGACAAAGGTTAGACTGCGATCAGTCATAGTGCCACGGCGAAGACTGCCGCCGCTGCTACTTGTCTACGGCTGCGACGACGATCTCCGCTACCCACCAACGCAACTGCCCAAATCGTCGGATAAGGGTTGTTAGTTTTTGCCAAGGGACCAATTTCGAACTTCCGAATGGCGAACAAAAACATCGCCCCGCCCCCCCTTGCATTTTCATGCTTTAAGGAAGTCGCAGTGTCCACAGTTTGTAGGGTGTAAAAAAGCAAAGGGTTTAGATGGTGTCTAGACTTCACAAGGAGGAGGCAGTTGAGGCTTTATGTGGTTCGTAAGGTTACGGGCTTAGAGCTTTTAGCCTGTACAGCGCTTGGGTCTCGAAAAGCCTAAGAGGGTGCATTGTTCCACAGCAACGCGGTGCTTAGAGTGGGTCAGTCGGCGAGTGCCCAAAGCAGGAGAAGGAGAACCGCCGGCAGATAGCTGAGTTCGAGGAGCCATCCACTCAGAGAGCCTTGGTTTGGTAAGTAAGCAAGGCAAAAGCATGCCAATCTTTGCCAATCGCGAACTCAGCAAGTCGCAACTCCGAGAAAGCAGCTTTTCCTCGCTCTGTTGAACCCACAGTGAGAGGATCTGTGCTTTTCTAAACTGTTGGACCATCCCTTGCACGTGAATCTGAGGCTGCTTGCCGAGGAGCTCGCGAGAAGAAAGGCCCAGCAGGCCCTTGAGATGAAAACGGCCCAGGTTTGTTTAGGGCTCCTCTAGGGCGATGGGGCTAGCATGTGCTTAGAGGTTTCCTTTAGGTGTTGGGAGTTCAGGCCGTTTGCGATGGGACCGGGTTAGGGGATGGCTTCAGGGCTTGGAAGGAGTTCAAGGGTGATAAGAGTTCTATGCTAAAGCTTTGAGGTGTATGAGGGTCTATCGGCTCGTTCGGAAGTAGGATTCTTTTCACTTGGAGTCGCTCGGCGCCCGGTGGCGCCCCGGGTCGCTTCAGTTTCAGGGTGATAAGACTTGGATGCTATGAGGTTCCAAGGCTCGCTCGGAAGTAGGAAGCCATTTACTTGTCGTCGCTCGGCACTCGACGTCGCTCGGCCTGGGTGTCGGGTATCGCATGTTTGTCCTCGACGTCACTTGGTGCTCAGCGTCGCTCGGCACGCTCGGCGGCGTCGGTGTCGCTCGGCCGGAAGGATTTCACGAAGAGCATTCCGACTCACGCCAATTCTCAATAGACAGCTGCTGTCTGTTTCTCTCGCCATTACTATAACTGCCAACCTCTATTTCGGCGAGGTCCGGAAGGAAGTGGTCCGGCAGCAGGTGTGCAACCAATCGGAGGAGCTTCGAGCCCTCAAGGTGCAAGGGAGGGAGAGGGAGGGAGGGATGGATAGAGGGAGAGAGGGTCTGATTGGTGGCTTTCCTGTCTCGCGCAGCTGATCCTTACATCCTGCTGCCATTTGCTGGGGGAGTGAGTGGGAGGGCGAGGGTGAAGGGGTGGAACAGAGGTGAGGGAAAGGAGAGGGAGGGCCCTAGACTTAACAGGAAAGGCCTAATTACCGTTGACAGTTCGGGTTGCGGGGCTCGGTTAGGGTTTTGGGTTTAGGGATTTTTGGGTTGGTTTGCGTTTTGAGTTCGCGGTCGAGCGAGATAACAGGCTAGCTTACCTTTCCGGGATCGATTTCGCGGGCTGAAGCTTCTGTGTGCATTCGCGGTCTCAGGCTTGGGCTTCGGACAGACCTAAAGCCCAAACCCCACAAGCCTTTAACACCTTTGAGCCCTAAGCAAGTCTGAACCACACTAACCGAAGAACCTCCTCTCCCAGAACTCCCTGACCCCCATGACCCGGCGAAATCGTGGCGACTGCCAGGAGAAGCTGCAGGCTGCTCAGGTGAACAAGGCTCCCTTCGGGCCGCAAAGGCTTCAGAACTTCAGCTTTGGCTTCTTTTTTGGAGCGGGCCGGGGGGGTTTATGGTTTAGGGTTTTTCAACTTTGGGGGTTGAGGGTTTGGGGTTGAGGGCTTGGCTCCTTTCGGGCAGGGTTTTGGTGTGTTTTGGATGGTTGATTTGGTTCAGGCAAAGTTGCCGGTTGTGTAGGAATTGGAGAAATGCGTAGCTTGTGCAGGCATGTTTCGGGTTTGGCTTGAACGTTTGAGCTGCTGATGTTTCCCAGCACATTACTTACGAGCTTGCCAATTCCTTGGGCTGCCATGTGCTGCGAGGGTTTCAGGGTTGCCGCTCCAGATGCAAAGCAAAACTACCTACAGTCGAGTACTACGAATCACAAGTCGCAATGTTCAAGCGCAATCTGAATTCCCCATTTCTGGTATCTTTAGGCACGGTTCGGGTTTCTAGTATGTATACTGCCGGCAGATGAGGACCACAAAGGGGTTCAGCGCTCAGATTGACAGACTCGACTGCTGGACCGGCGGACATACCAGGAATGAGAGCAATCCTCACAACCCCTTGACCATGATGTTGAGGTCGGTCGTAAGTGGCGATGGCGATGATGATAATAAGAAGGATGCATCACGATGGCCAGCATAATCGCAGCTGTCATCATGGTGACTTATGTCACCGCAGCCGCCGCCACCATGATCAGCATCTTGATCATCATCGTCGCAATCAGCCTCGTCACAATCCCAAGCGTTGAAGATCGCAAGCGTTTGTGGAGAGCACAACATCATCATTTCACCGTAGTTGTCACCGTCCACATCTCATACTCCCTCCCACCGTCACTGCCGCCTCCTCCACCGCCGGCGCCGCCACTGACACTGCCACCACCAACAACACGAAACCCACCAACACTTAATATGTCACCTGCACTCTGTACAGGTTCGGGCCCGCCAGCTGATGGAGAAGCAGGCTGTCGAGCTACGGTGTTAAGCATAGCAAATCTGCAGTGTGTCCTTTCGTTCCTGGAGCTCGAGACGATGCATAAGCTCCAAGATTCAAGCCTCAAGGTCGCGTCCACGACACACATGCAGATCGTCTTGGATTGAACACCAAGCACGACCTAGCAACCTATGGTCGCAAGTTCATGTGATGTCATTGTCAGAGCATGTCATCAAGTGAAGATTGTTGAATCTGACCACCTGTGGCAGGATCGAGAGCGCAGTGAGCAGGAGCAGCAGGGGGCCCACGATGCCCTGGTGGAGGACACCGGAAACGAATTTTTACTTCGCGTTTCTGCGCTTCTGGACTTTGCTTTGCGGCCCTGAAGCCGGGCATCAAAACCTTGATCTGAAAGGTTGCGAAAGCATCTGGCTAATTTTTGTACAAGCCTAGCTTGCTTGTTGTCGTTCATAGCTTTAAGTAAAGCTGGCTTCTCGTTTTGTGAGGGAGGAGTTCTCTGTGTCCCTGACCACCGGGGCCCAGACTTCCCGCTTGTGCCCTGCTGTTCAGCCCCGATGTCCGAGAGGTGTGATTTTCAGTGGTGAAGTTCTCAGCCTGGGAAGGTGATATTTACCTGGCAGCTTGTGGACTTTAGGCTTAGAGTCTCGGTCACATGCTCAACCATGACCTAGGCCCGAAGCCCTTAGGGTCCTCACAGCCTTACACCATGACATACTCGGGGGGCCCCATCACTCTAAAGCCGGTAACCCTGGCACACCTAAAATTTAAACCCCTAAGCCAGCTAAGCACCTGATGGCGCCTAAACTCCCTTGGACCTCGAAGCCGTGGCCAGGCAAGCCGACTGGCGGCTGATCGCTTAGCACTGCAGGAGCAGCAGCAGAAGGCGGACCTGCGTGTTCAGGTTGTTGGGATGCAGGGCGGCGTCAGAGAGGGTTAAGGTTGTTCTGGGTATTGGGGTTTCAGAGCTATGGCTTTGGGTTGTTAGGGTGTTGGCCTTTATGGTGGTTAGGGGCTTGGGGACATGGGGTGTTCGAGTTCAGGGGTTGAGGGCGTGGGGACCTCGGTGTTTTCGTGTCATGCTCGGCCTTTCAGTCTTGTTTCCCTCAGATCTCCAGCCAGCTTTCAAGATTTGCAGACTTTGGAGTTTAATTCTGGGTTTCCCAGTTCGGGTTTCGCAAGATTTGGCTGCCTTTTTCACCGCATCGGTACCTAGCACTGTCCCTATTCCATGTGCCCCTGAACCCGAGCCTACTGTGCAAGCTAGCCTCTTCTCCCCAGAGGGCTCTCGGTGTTTCGGGGTTCAGGGTGCAGCTTCCAGAGCATAGCAGGGCCGGTGGTTGCGAGCCCGGCATGTGCAGGAGCTTCTCGAAGTCTCAGGCCTGCACTCCTGCACCATCAGCTCGAGCTCACATTCTCAATCCCAGTTTCAATCCTCGACTCCAGAATCCTGTCAAAAGCCCCAAAACACGCTGCCGTGCAAAGCCGAACAGTTCCCCAGTATTCTGCTGTAACTGTTCAGGTTTCCACATTGCCGTTCTTTTCTGAAGAATCCACCGAGACAGCACCTCCGCGTCCCATGCCGCAATGATGCCAGGTTCTCGCCAGTCAAGCTATGCTCAAGGAAAACCAGGCTTGGGGGCAGGGTTTGTTATTTAAGCCGTGACCTTGGGGTTCAAGGAACCCCAAGCCCCAAACATGTCTTTTCTCAAGGATCCGGGCAAGGTCTGGACATGGTTGGGGATCGTTTCGCTCAACAGCAGCCGATGGATGAGGGTAGCTATATGGCAATGTGGGTGAAAACGCCGACGACGACGACGACGACAGCGACGACGATGACAATGCTGATGACGACGGCAACTATGCGGATCTTCAGGATGCTGCTGCTGTGATGATGATTGGTGACGACGTTTCGGACAATGTTGTCATGCTTGAACAGTGTGGTCTGTACTTGGCTGGCTACTGGTAGCACCCAGCTTACACACGGGAATACTGTGTTGGAGAAATCGGCACCGAAACCTAAACCCCGAACTCCCGAAGCAGCAGCGGAGCCTGCCAAAAGGAGCTTCTCGCTCAGAAGGAACTGCGACAGGAGGCTTTTTCGGGGCATCGACGTGGATATTGAGAGGGATCTCCTTCACCACGACATAACAGTTGAGGCTTCGTATAGGAAGTGTTCGGCAGTTAGGCAAGAGTCGCAGCTTCCGGGAGTGTTCGGAAATAGCACAGCTACCCAAAGTGAAGTCCGAAGGCCTTGTCTGCAAAGTTGTCTGACTCATCTCATTCTGGTTTCCACTTCTTACGATACCCTCCATCGAGTCAAGTCGAGAGCCTTGAGCCCTTGCGTATGCAAGGCTCCTGAATATGTGCATTGTCCAGTACAGGCCAAGGTCCAAAGTGTCCAAAGCGTACAAGTAAGGTTACATGATCGGACTGCTTATATAAGATGCTACGCATCCAACAACACTCACCGCGACAGCTCCAACATCCAAAAAGATGAGGCCAGCCCCCAAGTTCTGAAGCCGCAAAGAAGATTTACCCAGCCTGTAGAAATTAGACGAGTCCCAAATGTCCAAACCTTAAACCCGTGGTCAAAACCGCAGTCCTACTCCAGCCCCTGAACCAAACTCAACATTCTATATCCCAAACCGTTAAACCCAAGATCAACAGCCCCAAAATATCGTAAGAAACGTCAGGCAGCTCAGGAGTTTGAGAAGGACAAGGCTTTGGTCGAGGCTTCGCAGCGGGCTTGTCTTTGCTTATTGGGTGGGGGCCCTTCAGGATCCCATGTAGCCGAATTGTACTGGTTACTGGTCCAGGGTTCCTCGGCGCCTGCGATGTGTATGTGTATATGTATGTGACGTGTGTATGTGCATGTGTATGTGACTTGTGTGCGTGTATACGAGAGTGCATGTGACATGTGTAGGGGCTTTTGCATTTGTGCGAGTGCATGCGCATGTACAGGAACGTGCAGTTTTGCGTGTACCGGTATGAGTACGTATGTGTGGGTTAAGTTGCGGCTGTAGGCATGCATGTAGGTGTAAGTGCTAAGTATGTTTGCATGTCCATGCACGTGTAGGTGTAGGCAGCAGTACGTGTGTGTACGTTTATGGTTTTGTGTGTGTGTGTGTGCGCCTGTATGTGCGTATATGTACATGAGCTTTACGTATATATGTGTATATGTATATGAATGTGGATGCGAACATGGAAATGAACATGAATATAGAGATGAAAACGGACGAGCACAGATGTGCATACATCTATATGTTTTAACGTATAAACCTTTTACAGGCATGTGTACATGTCTCGGTATGTCTAGGTCTATGTGGATGTACCTAGGAGCTCAAGCACGCAACACATCTACACGTATACAACTGTACGTGTTTCTGTACGTTGATCCAAGTAGCTGTCACAGTACTGTAGCAGGTAGGAGTAGTAGCGGTGGTTGTGGTCCCGGCTGTGGTTTGCGATTGTGGTTCTCGGTGCATGTGAGGTGTTAGGGCTGACGGCTCTCGACTCTGGTCTCCTAGGATGTAGTGGCGAAGATCATGGAGGAGGACTTGCGGGACGTGGCAGCCAGGTCCATGCAGCGGAGCTAGGGCAGTTCGTGCGTTCGGACGTCGGAGGATGTTGGGCTTTGGCACACTGTTTCGAGAATGTGTTTGGGAGATTTCATAGGCAGCAGCACCTGTGGGGCTCACAGCAATTGCTCCAGCGCTCTAAAGGCCACATTAACCTCCCCCGGAATGAGCAGATGCACGAATTGACCTAACCATGCTGGCACACATTCATTTAAATGCCTCGAGGCCTGCTGAACCCGGTCTCACGCCATGCAGCCCTGTCGTGGTGCATGAACCCTAACTGGCCCTCTATGGTTTCTAAACCCACAGCCCCCGACCTCCACCACACGGCAGGGAGCAGAAGAAGAAGGAGGCCAACCGAATCCTGGCAGAGTGCTCCCTGCCTCTTGCCCGTAGTCATACAGTAAAGCACCTCTGTTCTTAAGACTTAGAGGACGACAAACTTACTCTGAATGTACACCAGGAGGCTCTTCTTCGTACTTCTTTGCATCAGGTGATTTCGGCTCTAGACCCGACCTCAAAACCCAAAGCCCAAAACTATGAACCCTAAGCCCTATAAACTCTAAACCCGATTCTCTACAAATCCCTCAACCCTGAACAACCTTGGCCTTAGCTCGCAAAGCTTGAGCTCCAAGATAGAAAATCCGAAAACCATAGAATTTCGCTCGGTTTCCAGCCGATCGGGGCTCGGGCCGGAGTGGAGAGGTTTTGAACTTTACCCTTGGCCACATCCCTGCATCTCCGACTGAGTGTAGGGTGCTTTTGGCCGCAGAAGAATGGGGTAGGCTTGCTTTCTTTGGGATATTAATAGTGTTGGAGGGTGTGGTCTTTAGAGAAACTGACAAACCACAACAAGCAGCAAGCAACGAAGTAGCAAGCAGCTCTTTCCACGGGACGAGTCAAATATCGAGAGTCGACACAGAAAGCGGGGTAATCTTCAGCTTTACCGAAAGCTGGTGTAACAAGCTAGCTGGCCTGTTTCAGCTTCGTTCAATTTGAGCCAAAGTTGGCAAAGCATAATCGAGCTTCTGGTTGCCATACTCTCTTCAGCGTTAGCCGAAGTCGGCAGAACATCGCGGCACTTCTTGTTGCCACATTTGCTTAAACATGAGCCGAACGTTCTTCTATCATTTGCTGCTTCTTGCATGTCTAGTGTTCAGCTTGGGTCCGGATGTGGCCGATGACGCGTAAGCTGAGGTGCCAACCGGGCAGTCATATTTCCACGGCTCGGGTTGAAGAGTCGTAGCCACGGCATGTGGTCAGTCTCTCATGGGGCTGCGCAGTGCGGGACGTTTTAGGACTTCAGGTTGCGGAGTTCGGGGTCGGCGTTGGTTCTGGAACTGATGACTTAGCGGTTTGACCGTAGGCAGTTCAGGTTAACCTCAATCTGAGAAGCTGGCAGGTACCACCAGGCCCTTTTGGACCGCCGACGCGAGGACGAGAAGCAGCAGGTGGGCTTGCCCGTTTGCTGTGCTGGTCAACGCCTGGACAAGGAGAAAATGCTATGATCAAGTTCGATGCGCCCGACGAGCGCTGACGTTTGAACGGCGCAGTTTGAGTATCTGGTCTAGGATTTTGGGTTGAGGCGCTTGCATAGAGGCCTCGGATCCGGACCCTGGGTTTGCTGGCTTCTGTTTCGGCCAGCGGTGGGTCTTAGGTTGAGGGTATTCAGCATTTGCGGTCTGGAGCCTGCATGGGGTTTCACGATCGTTGTCAGGTGGAGGAGGACCAGCGAATCGAAGCTTGCGCCTGAGATCCTTTGCTCAGGGTTTTGAGTTTGGGTGGAG